CAGTCATCTAAGTTACGGCAAGTAAAATATAGAAATCCTCAGAAATCATATCACATCATAACAGTGATGCATAATAAAGTAGACGTGTCTTGAGTACCCTCCCTCTACCAAGCCAATCAGTTTTGTGTGTTTTGGTAATAATCTGTTCTTTCTTGATTTAAGTTAAATAGGTGAGAGGGTCAACATCTTTTGAATTAAAAGTTTTAATCGCAATGCTTCTCCTTCTTATTTGGCAATATAGCAGTTTTTCGGCTTGGGCCTTTGATAATTTGCGCTAGTTGTTCATGACGAGCGCAGAAACATCCTTATGTACTCTTTCTTTCGTTTGCCATCCATGGTTGCCAAGTCGAAGGATCTTTTCACTGTAGCGCGGCAGAGCCAAGACACTCGTTGTATTTTTATGCGTTTATATAGTTAAAAAGCTCGTGCAGTTCGTCATTCCATCGAACTGGCCCGCAGATCTTGTGTAAAATAGTTCCTTTAAAAGCACCCAACGGCTTCAATGAAAATTACTTGTATATTTCAACTTTTGGTTAAAACCCCCGGTAAGAAGAGGGGTATATATCGTGAATAGGGCTTTAGTACTTGACGATTTTTTTTCATTATTACCATACAATTTTTCAAGAAATTTGCTACCCAACCCAAACTATAGACTGGTATCTACGCTAATTCGCAACGGACGTTTAATCTATCAGACTAGTAATTAAGGAATTATCCTGCTGTAATGCAATGCTCCTTGCTTTTAAAAGGCACGCAAGCATTTTTACCGTATCTGACGGTACTCTAGCTAAACCTAATTTTCTACAACCGTATCAGCTTTTTGGGGCTGCTAAATTTTATGCATCGCGGTATATTAGTTAAGGCTCCTATTTCAATGGTAATCACACGCAGTAATAAAAATCAAACAAACAGCTTAATGTCTGAACAGTTTTTGTCTACACTGTATGTAGGTACGTATGTGTATGTGAATCACTATACCCAGCAGCGAATGGAATGCATTCCGTATCGATGCCTCACTGATGACAAGTAATGGTATTACATTTAACATTGCGTGAAATTTGCGGTAAGGTGTGAGTGCTTCTGCTGCATTACTTTTCATCAACGAAGAAATGTCGCTCTTTCTGCATTACCTATAGCATAACATTACGCTCAAAGTAATGCAGAATGTTTTAAAAAGTAGACGTCTACATTTTAAGACACTTTCTAACCATAAACAAACAAATCAAGGAAAAGAAAGTACCATTTTCAGAACCAAAATCGAAGGCGACATATGAAAAATGGACGCAAAAAGAAGTGTCTGGCAATACCAGTAAAGTTTTGCGACGATTTTGCGACGACTGCTAGAATGGAGTGCTCACAATTTGATGCTAAAGGCCTCAAAATGTAGACGTCTACATTTAGAAAGTACTATGAACACCCCAATTTTTATCAAAATGTAATGAATATAAAATAAGGGGTTTGCCATGTCAATGGATGAAAGTACTAATTCGAAAAAAAAAAAATCATGTAGTATTTGATACATTGGAATTGATTACATTTGAAAAGCAGTTTATGGCTATTGTAATGCAATTGCATTACTTTGGAGTCGACTCTGGTGTAGGTGGCGTTCTCATGCAATCGCATTTTTGCTGCTGGGTACTTACATATTTATGCACGTCGTCTTCAATCATACACAAATCACATTACCATTTTCTTTGCAGCACCACTTGTGAACTTCTTCGATTATGTCACTCCGTAGTAAAAAAAAGGAAAGAGGGGCATATGTGTTTGCGAAAAGCTTCAGTTTTTTCACAATTCATATTTTTCAACACACTTCCACCCACTCTCTCCTCCAACTGCATTTTCGCGCACCGGCAATCATACAATTCATAGCAAAGCACACATGCAAATTTGCTTTTTCCGTCGCAACGGCTTCCAACTTCAACTCTGACTTTTCCAAACGCCGCAGCAAAGACATCATAAATTGTGGTGCTGTAGACAAAACTATTCCACCTTCGCGAATTGCTGAAGCACCGCCGCGGCGGCCGTACAATCAGACTGGCATACACGTTAAAATTGAAGCCAAAAGCGGCTCACATGAAAGTGTATGTAATACTCGTACAAAACTGGGTGGCTCGGGTGCGGTATCGATGTGTATTGCTTGGCTGGGTTACCCATAATCAGCCCCGAGGCTGACAGTGTGCACTGGATTGCATTGCCGGCACAGCTGTTTGCACCTTCGCCAGCGCACATATAAATAAAATAAATAGATAAATGAAACCACAATTGAATTTATTTTTCGACTGCGAGTTTTTAAAAACTTAATTCGGATGTTGTGCGAGGGCTGAGTCTGAAAACATGCAATAAACTCTGCAATGCTGGGCAGAGGAAGTTCGTTGCGGCGAAAAGCGCTAGTCGACGTCGTGGCTAAAGTAGTGCTATGAAAAACCGTTAGTTTGTCAAATTAACTGCTAATGTGCTGTCAACTGTCGTTAGTGAATGTATGACAGTTTGGCGGTAAAAACTTTTAGCCTAATGACTCTTTTTCGGATAGCAGACGGTTCCGACGGGAACTGCAACTACATGCAGCCAAAGGCTTTTGAAGAAAGAAAAAAATGTATTGGAAGAGGGATTTGAATTTGCTGCCTTGAGAATTTATGAGAGTAAGAATATTTAAATGGCTGAATTGATTTTAGCCGTCGAAATGCGTGCCTTTATTTTATAGAGAAACAGTCAAATTAAAGAAGTGCGCAGATGTCTTTAAATGGGTAACTAAGGAAATAAGCTTAATTTTTCACTTGGGGAACATGTTCCGGTCTTCCAGGCTGAAGTGTTTGCAATCCTCAAGGCCATGGAGAGCGATGTTGCATACCTAATTATCTCCAAGTAGACGTCCTGTGAGCTTAGGCCTTCCCAATGGATTTCTGTCATTTATATTATGGGACTTTCTAAAGCTTTCAGCCCGCTTATTAGCGTCTTAAAATAATTTCAGTCTCAGAGAACAGTAGATCAATTTCCTCTTGGCATTTCCTGGTCGGTCTCATTTTCTTCCATCTTGCTATTGTTTTTTTCTTGCTAGTAGCTGTAACATTTCATATCGTAACATTCATTCATATCTTGGACTCTGATGGGAAAGAAACTCAGTGGTCATCAACTGGTCAACTATATATTTTATTGCAGGAGCTCATATGCCAGAAGCGATAGACGATTTAGTAATACATAAGTTCAAATAGTATAAGTATCTCGTTATTAATTGTTCTATGCCGAATTATCTTATACACTACTAGAAACCGCTGCCCGGGAACTAATAGCGACTTTGAGCAGTAATTTGCGACACAGATCAGATGTAATAATACTTACCCTGGGATGTAGTAATTCAGTCTCATCTCAAGTCAATAAATTTTAGATTAGCAATTAGTGACTATTTTTGTGACTTGAGACGATTTGGGTATTCAAAAGGAGAGAGTCACAAAAAGTTCACCAAAAATGTGTGGTGAAAGCAAACACAGACAATCAACTGATAGTGTTTATGTATGCCTTTTGTCCGCGCCGCTCAAAGAGTCGCAATGGCCGAGTGGTCAAAGCATTAGGCTGGCAGCCGAGAGGGTCCGGGTTCAAGTCCTCCTCGGCCGTAGAGGATTTTTTATTTTTTTTACTTAGTATCTTTTTATTTTTTTATTAGTTTTATTTTTTTCTAACAATCTTTAGATTATAAAGTTTTAAAAACAAAAAAATAAATTTTTTTTTCAATACATTTGTATGATACATGATAAAAATATTACAAGGTAAATTCATTCTCTCATTTCGTCGGCCATGATTTTTTTCTGACGTTTTCCAACATTTTAAAATCATATAAAATTGAAAATAACAAAATTAAATTGTTCACAATTGTTGTTGTTTGAGATTGGAAATGAGAATGTGTGTGTGAGTTTGAGTTTTGATTTTAAAATTATATTGTTGGCAAACGTCAGACTTGCTCTCAATGGTTTTACCTTGTTATGTTTTTATCATGGTATGATATTAAAGCATTTTGGTTTATTTCCTAATGAAATTCTTGTTGAACAAATTCCCTCCCTTCATTTTCGCGTTTTTTTTTAATAAAATGGAAAGAAATAAGCTTTTCCTCCATACTTCTATTTTTGTGACCGGCTCTTAGCCAGCTGACAAATTAGTGACTTATTTTTGAGACTAGAGACGTGAGACAGCGTACTGAATACCAAATAGTCTCAAAATCCAAGTTTACCAACAAAAGTCACTATTAGTGACTAGAGACCGCTTACTGCATGCCATATAGCGTAGCGATTGTGATCTTTTTTTTTTGAGGTGGAACAAAATGTATAGAATAAATAAAATGCGTAGAAAGCTTAAGAAGCTCTGCGCGCGAACACCACCACTGCCATGTAATACTTTATATGCATTTTGCAGCTCTAAAGCAGCTTTTACCCTAGTAACGAACAGAGGGAGCTTTTAATCGACATATTCATATAAAATAGCCTTTCCCGCACGCAAAACTTTTTAAGCTTTATATATCTACATTTTTTAGAGCCGCGCAAAGGATGCAAGCTTAAAACGTCAGCAGTTTATGTTTTCATCGCAACTGCCATACTATATCTATTTAAATATATAAAATGAATGGAAAATTTTTAAAAGCGCTGCACGCGGATAATGCTTTATTAAGCTTTCAATAAAATGGGCAGATTACTGCTAAGGGCCGGTTTCACCATTAACACTAATCTCTAGTTAAATATTGTTACCGACGTTATCGACCCAATGTTATATGTATGGAGTCAGTAACGTCGGTAACGATGTTAAACTGGAGATTAGTGTTAACCAGAGGTAGTGAAAACGGGCCTTAGAGTTTTAGATATTTTCAATTCACAACTTTTGCAAGGAGCTTTTCCATCTTTCCTAGTTATGTGGAGAATTACAAACGCCTCTAAAATAATACATATTATACTCATATTATTTTTATTTAATTGGACTTATACATATGTATTTATGTTATTTTTATGCTCTTTTAGTGTTTGGCTTGGACTCGCCGCTTGGTCTCTTTCCGCCCGGGATTGACCCGGGTAAACTCTACAATCCGCTAATGGAAATGTCCGATCCACGTGGCATGCCCAGCGACCATCCGCCGCCCTTTCTGAAAGGCAAAAAAAGTGAGTAAACAATTTTGAAATTTCTTTAAAAAAAAACGTTAGCCAACAGTATCTTACTGTTTAAATGTAAGCAGTCACTAAGTAAAAGCAACTAATTAACCTCGCAATTGAACCTGAAATTCAACATACAGCTAGACAATCGCCACGCTTCGAGTATTTTCCGAAGGAAATAAAAAAATAAAAATAAATAATTGTCCACAAGAAATTGCAACTATCCACTAGGTTAGCTGAATAAAAACGAAAAACAATTCAGAAAAAACTGCATTTTCACACCCGAGTAGTAGTAGCGCCTACTGCATAAAGCACAACGATTGCTGCCTGCCCTTTTGCCACTGCATGTTTACACACTTTGCGCATGCGCACCCACTTATCTGCACTCGTCTTGCTGGCACTTTTGCTCACGTGCTCACTCGTTGAGCTACTGGATCGATGGGGTAATCGATCGCATCACTTGAGTAGTGATATCGTAGCAGGCGTATTGCCATTCTCTTCATAAGCGTTTCCACTTTAATGATTTCAATTGCTTTTGCTGGCAAGGTGTCTTTGAATTGCCTTATTTTTCGCATTAAAAATGTGCAATCCAAGACATTTACTCTTTGCTGATCAATTTTGAGTTTGTTTAGGTATTAATTCCAACGTAGATACATATATTGCAAACTACAATACAAACGTATCGAATCTAAGTTAATTCAAAGCGATTAAAAAATCATTTCAGGAAGTGCAAGCGAAAGCACTTTGAGGTTTGCTAAAAGGGGATTTTCATTGAACTTGAAAGTATAAAAAACACTTTCAATTTCAATAGAGTTTGTTTAAAAAAGCCATTTAACTTTTTCTCAAATCAATTAAAATATTTAAGAAGTAAAAGCAAAACTAACAATAAATTGTTTGTGAAAGCTTTAAATTAGTCGTTGTCTAATGAACGTCGTTAAAGGCTTATTAAATCTGCCGGTACTAGTTAGTTAGTAGTTACGTCTTTAGTGCGACTCGAGAAGTGAGAGAATGACAGGAGAAATGCTTTTCGAAACACGCATTTGAGACAAAAGCTTCCCCAACGACCTAAAGTCCGAAAAGTTCCGCTGTAATATACCACCATCACAAAGGGTCCTGTGTTAATTTCCAGGAGCGCATACCGGAGTGAAAAGGATATTTGTTGAGAAACTGACAGCTGCCAACCAGCCCGATTTCATTATCCCTGATTACACTCATTCTGGCACTGTAACCAGTAAAATGGTTACATCAAAATTTACCTTTTAAGTTTTTTAAGTCGGTACCATTCAACATTTAAGGGGCATGGAAGGATTTTAGCGAAATGTCTCCCTCAAGAAAACAAAGTATAGCTTAAGACCATATATGGGGGAGTCGAGCTCGGCACTGGAAGGCACACTTCTGGAGATAGTGGATACGATTTTCTGTGCCCAAATATCGCAAAAGTGACCTATGGGGCCAGCAGCTCATTAAAACATAAAGCCATTGATCGATTTTTAAGGACGCTTCGTACAAGCGGGTTTAAGGCGAGCGCTGGAACATTTGAGGTGAAATGTTTCTCACTGAACTGAACGTGGTTCAACGGCTTTCTCGAATAGGAGGCACAAGTTTAAATGTTTACAGTTGTGGGTAATACCCTCTCTCCGTAATCCACTCTTCTGAGTTTCAAAATGGTATCTTAGATAGCGGATATGCAATGCTGTATCAGTGCCCAAAACGCTGTCAATAAAGACAAAGTATCGGCGTGCTATTTTCCACAAAAAGAGTGGTAATCGAAAGGTTAAGGAGGTGCTGTTTTGCTACAGAATAAGTGGCCAGAGCTCTTTAAACGCCCTAGGCAACCTTTTACATAACTCTAGAGCAAGATCAGCTTTCATTTGAGTGACATCAGCTTTTCATTGCAAGCTTTCAATCAACTTTTATTCCACTGGATTCTTTAACCAACTTTTAACATCTTCCTTCGACAACAAGCTATAGCAACAAAATACTACATTATTTAGTGACACTTTTATCGCCTTCCTTCATCAACGTGATTCCACCGAATGCATGTCTTCCCAAGCACTCAATCGTCCAATCGACGTTCCATTATTAGCGTCATTGTCGTTGACGCCGTTCGATATCACATGAGGCGGTAAATTCAATCTTGTGGTTTTCCTGTATGGCTCAGCTGAATGCGCATGTGCGCCTAGGCATGTCAGGCGGCGCTCAACGCTCAACGCTCAGCGACAGCAAACAGAAACAAATTATGTAGTGCATATGCAGTCGAGTATGTTTGTTTGCTTGTGAGTGTGTGTGTGTGCATTGATTTTATTGCAGTAAAGTGAACGCATCATTTGCCATAAAAAGTGTGCAATTTTTCAATTATTGAGCTCAACGTTTTGCATTCATTGTGCAATCATCGGTCATTGAATGAGTGAGTAGTATGAGTTTAATGCGTTTACGTGTGTGTATGTACACATGTATACTTATGTATATCGGCAACATTCGAAGAAACCTCAAATAGTTAATGAGTTTTTTCTGCATATCAACCGCATTACAAGTAAAATTTTTTCCTTACTTATTTCAAATAATATTTATCAGTCTCATTGTTTGGCTATGCACCTTTAACATTTATCCATAAACAAGAACAATAACAATAAAGGTAAAAAAGGCAACATTAACAGCCACACAGACAATAGGAAAATTCAAGCTCTATATACCTAAATATAGTCATGTGAAAAATGATAGGGACACGCAAATTTTACCAGTTTCGACTGTTTATTTTTTTTTTTTTTTTGTTTGTAGAAAAACTCAACAACACACTTTTTATTAAGAGTTATAAGTAAAATTCAAAGTATGCACCTTTATAGCCCATTAAATTATAGCTCAATACATTGCAAGTTCCCAATGGCTAATAAATCGCGTTGATTTTTGATATTTTTATACCCGAGCGCACTTGTGCACAAGGGTATTATAACTTTGTTCACATAACGGTTGTTTGTAACAGGCAAAACGAATCGAGATAGATATAGACAAATGTATACATAAATGATCAGGATGAAAAGAGAAATCGATTAAGCCGTGACTGTCTGTCCGTCCGTCCGTCCGTCTGTGCACACGATAACTCGAGTAAAAATTGAGATATCTTAACAAAACTTGGTATGTGCACTTCTTTCGGGCGTAGGACGGATGGTATTGAAAATGGGCAAAATCGTACAATAACCACGCCTACCTCCCATATAACGGTAATTTTCAGAAATACAAAAACTTCGATATTTTAGTAACTACTGAAGATAATTCACTCAAAATTGATATTTATAATAAATTTTAGACGAAAAATAAGAATATAAACATTTTTTTGAAAATGGGCGTAGCCACGCCCACTTGTGGTTACAGGTGTATATCTTGGTAACCGCTGCATCAATTTATTCCAAACTTTGCACAGTTGTTGGCCTTGATACAGCATACTAAATGGCCGAAAATTTTAAAAATTGGACAATAACCACGCCCACTTCCCATATAACGGTAATTTTCAGAAATACGAAAACTGCGATATTTTAGTAACTACTGAAGATTATTCACTCAAAGTTGATTTTACAAAAAGTTTTAGACGAAAAATAAGAATATTATAAATTTTTGGAAAATGGACGTAGCCACGCCCAGTTATGTTTACATGTGTATATCTTGGTAACCGCTGCACCAATTTCTTCCAAACTTGGCACAGTTGTTCACCTTGGTATAACATACGAAATGACCGAAAATTTTTAAAATAGGACAATAATCCCATATAACGGTAATTTAGAGAAATACGAAATCTTCGATAAATCAGTAATTATTGAAGCTAATTTATTCAACAATTCGTTACCAAGAAATACGTTTAAGATAAAATTTTGAAAAATGGGCGTGGCACCGCCCACTTATGATCACATATATGTATCTCGGTAACCGTTCTACCAATTTGTACCAAACTCGGTGTGGTTATTGTACTTGCCACATAGAAGCAAAACGTTGAAAATTATTGAAATCGAACTAAAATTACGGCCGCTTTTCATATAACAGTAAATTTCAGAAATGCTTGAAACTTCAATATTTCGAAATTTAAGGACGCTAATTTACTCATAATGGATACACCCCGGTTTACCATGTAGCGGTACCTTTCGGAAAGGTGAAAAACATATATTTAATACTTGCGCCGGGTATTTAATGTTCGGCTCCGCCCAAACTTAGACTTTTTTACTTGTTTGATGATGGTATTAATTTTTTCTACCATACAAAAACATTTGCGAACATACTTTGTATGGATGAAAATTCTTATTAAAAATTTTTTTGTTTGAACCTTATTTTACTGAGTTAGAATTTAATCTTCTATAAAACTGCATACGTAGAATTTGTATAGAAATTCTTAATAAAAAATTTGTTATTGTTGTGAAATTTTATTGAATTTTTTTAATTTTCCTACAAAGTTTTGAAAGTTTGAAATTGAAAATTTGGTATATTTGTTTTTTTGGATACGCTGCATTTTTATACACAAATAATACAAAACATTAAACACTCAAAAGAAAAATAGCCGAAACTGGTCAAAATGTCGTCTCCCTATTATTTTTCCCATGACTGTATGTGCAAATGTAGTACGTATGTACATTAGGGAGGTTCAAAAATGAGAAATGTGAAAAAGTAAAGTCGGAATTTTTATGCTCTCAATATATAGACCCTTATTTTTTTATTATGAACTCAAAAAGTATTTAGAGGTTGCTCAAAGCGCCCAAAGTTTTCCATGTATTTTATATGGGGAAAACAACTTTTCGTAGAAATGGTATAGAATAGTTAAAAATCAATATTTTTCTATCAGAAAACTCTGTTTATCTGTAGGGGATTCCAAATAATAATACCAAATTTTTTATTTAACTATTTTTTCATTGCAATTTTAATTTATAGGTCAGCCAAAAACCCACAAAAACCCTGAAAAATGCAATATGCCGACAAACAAAAAATCGTTAATATTAAAAAATTGTTAAATAAACAATTGCATATTATTA